AATCTGCCGTGCGTTGAGTAACTCCGACTATGAGAAGGTCTGAGTATGTGTGGGTCTGAGTATGAGTAAGTCTGTGTATGAGTGCGTCTGGGTATGAGTAAGTCTGAGTATGAGTAAGCCTGTGTATGAATAAGTATGTGTATGTGTACGTCTGGGCATGAGTGAGTCTGAGTATGAGTAGGTCTGAGTATGAAAATGTCTGATTGTGCATAAGTCTGTGTAGGAGCAAGTCTGGGTATGAGCATGTCTGAGTGGAGGAGGAGGAGGAGGAGAGGAGGGGGAGGAGGAGGAGGAGGACGAGGAGAGGAAGTAGGAGGCGTCCAAGTAATAACAATAACCCCATCTTAGGATATGGGGAACAAGACCCCCATCTTAGGATATGGGGAAAACAAACCAAACGAATGTGCGCGGCGCTGAAACAAACCGATTTCGAAAAGGCATGAACCTCCATCCGTACAACCACTACAAGCGTCTAAAGCGAACGTGCGGGGCATGAAGGCGAGAACGCAAATGCGAAAACGAGCCCCCTGTTCATCCTTAGACATGCTGCAAAAATTGAAGAACAATGATCGCGGTGCTCAAACGAAAACCATATGTTGAAGACGGTCCCCCTCCATCCGTGAAACAGCTGCAAGCATTTAAGGCGAATGGCGCGACGCTATGGCGAGAATTGGATACGAAAACGACCTGTGCCCCACCCCTGGAACAGATGCTAAAGTTTGGGGCCGATCCGCGCAACGCCGAGGCGAGAACCACCCCCCTTCATCAGTGGAGCAACTGCTTACAGAACCGCGCGCGGCGCTGTAGCGGGAACGACATTTGGACCCCCCCTTCTGTCCGAGCAACTGTTGCAAGCCTTTGAGGCGACTTTGTGCGCGGCACTCGGGCGAGAACGTGCTGAAAACGATCCACCCTCTCCATCCGTGAAGCGGTTGCAGGTTTCGTAAGAAGTTATTTACATAAGGAAGACATGGGACGGAGGACGTAGAGCGCAGTCATGGAGGGAGGTGGTCGAGGCGGCCAAGGCTAAACCCAGACCAACTCGCGTTGTGAACGGATAAGCAAGACAAAAAAGGTTTAGGTCAATCGCTGGTTTCCACAGGCCCTCCCTGGGCCCTGGGGCCGCGGAAACAAATCTGGATAAAAACTGGTCCAGGGAAAGGCGCACAAATCTTTGGTGTTGCACGTTGTGGGCACACGGGACGTCGCAGACTGGGTAGATCCTCGGGTACAGAGCGGACGCGGCCACAGGAAACTCTCGCCAGAAACCCAACCCCGAGAGTCCGCGCGGGCGGTGCAATCCGGCGGGGAACTCAAGGCACCCCGAAGCCAGCAGCTCGTCAACGACCGCGGGAAGTCGCCACGCGGCGCGCGCAGCGAAGAAGCCATGGCTACCCACACGAAACGCATCTGGTCTCTTGATGCGCGTCCCCACTGCATGGTCGGGCCATTTCCCTTCTGGACTTAGGTCGGGCCTGTCCCCCTACATGGACGAACAACAGAAAATACTCAAAAAATACTCAAATGATACCCACAAATAATTTAAAAATAGTCCCCAGACTATTTGTTGACTATTTGTAAATATTCCCCCTACGGGTTCCTCGCGTGGCCTGGGTGAGGCCGCCTCTGGGGCCGCCCCATCAAGACTCGGGGTCTCGTGAGCATTTTCTTATTCGGCGTTCTGACATCGGGCGGAAAGGGAGGGGGGAGGGGGGGGGTCTGGCTTTAAGTCGGGCGTGTTCCCCTACAGGGGGATTGTCGACGAAAAAACAACACTGCTCAAAAAAAAACTCCCAAATGTCAAAAAATATTCAAAAATAGTCCTTAGACTATGTTTTCAAAACTATTTTTGAATATTCCCCCTGTAGAGGGGCAGACCTGACTTAAATATGGCTCAGGACCTCTGCTTAGTGCGCCTGTTTGCGGCGGTGCGTCCCATTAGCGGAGACCCCCCCTGCCTGAAGCGGGCGCCCAAAACAGCCAAGATCTGCTCCACAAGCCCGCGCCGATCGGCAAAATGCTGATATAAAAATTCGCTCACCCTTCCACGGGCCCAACCTCTCGTCGCGAGTGCTTCCTTTTGGGGTGGACCTCGGGCCCGGGGAAGGCCCCGAGAGCCCGAGCGCGGCGAACAACCACTCCGGGAGGCCCCGAAGACGGGGCCCGGGACGAGGGGGGATCCTCGCCAAACGCGGCGAACAGAAACTCCAGGAAGCCCCCAAAGCCGGGGGCTGGGACCAGGGGGGGGGTCCTAGTTCTCGCATCGTCCCCCCGGGGCAGGCGCGAGGACGAGGGAGGCCACGGAACGCATTGAAACAGATGGGAGGCTCAGGAAATCGGGAAGATGCCACGGCTCTGGCCATGATGTCCGCCCCCCTCTGGTCCTCCACGCCCTCTTCAGCGCCCTGTGTCTCGGGCCATTCCTCCGGCCGCCTGCGCCCACTCGAGAAGATAGGAGGGCCCCCCCCGGAGAGCTCTCCGCGCGGCGCAGCTACTGGACAGCATCCCGAGGCGAGACGATCTCCGGAAGCCAACCGAAACTTCCTGCAAGAACCACCGAGCACCAGGGGAAACAGGAATGACATAGACATATAATGACATAAAAGCTCGGAGGTCCGCGCGGATTTCTCGGATCGGCACCGCACACCCCCCCCTGGCGCGCGGAGCGCGCCAGGGGCGGCGCCGGAGGCGCCGCCAGGGGGGTCCAGCGCGTATCCGAGAAATCCGCGCGGAGCGCCATACAGTTTATGTTTATTTCATTGTTCGTTCACCTAAGCTGAGGTCGGGCATGCCCCCCTACAGGCGGATTTGAGGCGAAAAATACAGAATACTCAAAAACCAGAGTCAAACATAGTGACAGCAGATAATCGAAACATCGTCCCCATCATATTCTGTTGTTGACTATGTTTGAACATTCCCTCTGTAGAGGGACAAGCCCGACTTAACCCTAAGCACGTCCTCACCCCCTCTGAGCAGGGACGGACCGTCCCGGCATTCCTATAGTCATACCACGAAATGTTCTTAGAACCCAAACATGTTCTAATATCAAAAACAATGTTCTTAGAACATATTCCCGATGTGTTAAAACAATACAGTCCCAGCCAGAAATGTTCTAAGAACATTTCTTGGAAGCCACAGAAAGGTTCTTAGAGCATTGTTTGGTAGGGCTATGTAGGCGAGCCAGGACGCTTCGCCACTGCTTGACCTCTCGACCACCCCCTCCTCGTCGGCGCGAAAGGGGGGGGGGGAGGGCGCGGTGCGCGGGCGCAGGCCTTCGCAGCAGGCGGCGGGGCGTCTCGGAGGCCCTCCGGCCTCCCGAGGAGCCCCCCCCCCCTGGGGCTTGCTTGGGGAGAGGGGCGAGGAGGAGTCAAGAGCAGGAGGAGGAGGAGGAGGAGGAGGAGGAGGGAAGGGGCTGCCTAGGAGGAGGAGAAGGAGGTTGAAGGAGGAGGAGGCGGAGGAGGGCGAGGAGGAGTCAAGAGCAAAGGGAGGAGGAGGAGGAGGAGGAGGAGGAGGAGGAGGAGGAGGAGGAGGAGGAGGAGGAGGAGGAAAGGTGCTAGAAGGAGAAAGAGGGGCTGCCTAGGAGGATTCCTGCGAAGCATCAGTCGTGCTAGAAGGAGGAAGAGGAGGAAAAGAGCTGCCTAGAAGGATTGCCTGCGAAGCACCGGTCGCGCTAGGAGGAGGAGGAGGAGGAGGAGGAGGAGGAGGAGAGGAGGAGGAGGAAGAGCTAGGAGGAGAGAGAGAGGAGGAGGAGGAGGAGGAGGAGGAGGAGGAGGAGCTAGGAGGGGGAGGAGGAGGAGGAGGAGGAGGAGGAGGAGGAGGAGGAGGAGGCGGAGGAGGGGTCTCCGAAGGCTGGGGAGCCTTCCGACCGTTCTGGAGAGGCCCGCTCCCTCTTGGACGCCCGAGTTATCCGGGGTAACTCGGGTCCGGGATAACTCGGGTTTGGATTCCCGAAAAAGGAACCCGAGTTAGCCCTGACCCGAGTTATCCCTGATGATTCGGGGCTCTGGGCGCCCGAGTTATCCGGGGTAACTCGGGTCCGGGGTAACTCGGGTTTGGATTCCCGGAAAAAGAACCCGAGTTATCCCTGACCCGAGTTATCCCTGATAATTCGGGGCTCTGACCCTCCGCCTTCCCCAGCTGGGCGCGCCGCCGGCCCCCGGCCCTCGCTCCACTCCTTCTTGGTCTGGGCACTGTCTCTCCGAGCCCTGCGGCAGGTTCGTGTCGTGACGGCCCCGGCATTGGTTTCTGACACCGCGGGGATCGCTGAAGCTTGAACGATCGGCCGTTCCATGAACGCCAGATCGTTCACAACGACGGGCCACGGGCGGCGTTGAGCCTTACACGCCAGTGCTGGGGTCGCCGCCGGTCGACGCGACGCGAACCCTCCGTATCCCCAGGGGCGTGGCCTGGGCCCCTCCCTGGCCGATCTGTCCCCCTGTATGGGGGCATGGGCCGTGTCCTGCGGGTTTCGAATTGCATCTCCCCAAAATTGGGTGTCGAGGTGGTGGGGGTCTGGATGGGTATGGGAATGGTTTGGGCGCCCGACATGAGCATGGAAAAATGGGTACAATGCCCAACAACAAGTGTTGTCCAACACCGACAGCGGCCGCTGTTGGGCGGGCGGCCTTGTGTCTTCAGCGAACAGCGTCCGCGCCGGCGCGGACAGCGAGCCTTGTTCAGTAAGCGTCGGGGGGACGTCACCCCCGCCAACAGCCCCACATCGACCCCCGTCGCGGGCAGCCACCGCGCGCCGAAGGCGCTCCGACCCCCGTCGCCGCGCGACGACGCGGCGAGGTTGCCCCCCGTCGGGCGGGCACTCCCCTGCGCTTATGAAGAAACCCAGAGTAGGGTTATGTTGTTCCCATCCTACTTAAAGACCACATCCCAGAAATAAGTTCGAGCACCCGGAAAAGTGTCAAAATAATGTCGAAACAGTGTCGGGCGAGTGTCTCCCAGGGCCCGACACGTGAAAAGCCTTGAGTTTCGGTACTTTTTCTGGCGCTCGAAATTCTTTCTGGTGATCAAGGCTAGAGTAGGTTGGAGCATCATAAGAGTAGGGATCGTTCATCGATTGTGATGCTCGACGCCCGCCCCCGACACAGCCACGACGGCGAGCACGACGGCGAGGGGGGCGGGCAGCTCGACGGACGCGGCGCCGTCGCGCAGTGGTGCCGTCGGCACCCGCGCAGTCCGCGCGGCAGCCTGCAGGGGCCTGGGCACGGCGAGGAGGAGGAGGATGTGGAGAAGAGGAGAAAAGGAAAAGAGGAGAAGAGGCAGAGGAGGAGGAGGAGGAGAAGGAGGAGGAGGAGGAGGAGGAGGGAGGAGGAGAAGGACGAGGGAGGAGGAGGAGGGAGGAGGAGGAGGGGAGGAGGAGGAGCTAGGAGGAGGAGGGAGGAGGAGGAGGAGGAGGAGGAGGAGGGAGGAGGAGGAGAGGAGGAGGAGAGGAGGAGGAGGAGGAGGAGAAGGAGGAGGAGGAGGGAGGGGGAGAAGGAGGAGGGAGGAGGAGGAGGAGGAGGAGGAGGAGGAGGAGGAGGAGGAGGAGGAGGAGGAGGAGGAGGAGGAGGAGGAGGAGGAGAGGAGGTGGAGGAGGAAGAGGGAGGAGGAGGGAGGAGGAGGGACCCCTTAGCTCCAGGGCGGAGGAGGAGGAGCTAGGAGGGGGAGAAGGAGGAGGAGGAGGAGGAGGAGGAGGAGGAGGAGGAGGAGGAGGAGGAGGAGGGAGGAGGAGGAGGAGGGAGGAGGTGGAGGAGGAAGAGGGAGGAGGAGGGAGGAGGAGGGACCCCTTAGCTCCAGCGCCGAGGCACAGCGAGCGAACGGTGCCGCAAGCCGCCCCCGCACGGTGGGCGGCCTGCGCGCGGTGGCCTGCGCGCGGCGGCCGTGGCCGCTCGCTCTGTCAGCCTCGTGAGCTCCTGCACGGTCAGAGGAAAGAGAACTACGCTTAAGTCGGGTCTGTCCCCCTACAGGGAGAGTTTCGACGAAAAATAAAACAATACCCCACACATAATCAAACAATAATGAAAACATAGCCTGGGGGCTATTTTTAGAATAGTGCTTTGACCATTTGGGTGTATTGTTTGAGTATATCCTATGTTTCGCCCCCCCAAACAACCCTTGTATGGGGGGACACGCCCGACTTAACACTATGCACATACACCGATTCTGGCCGGGCCCACCCTGAGCCCCGGATCGGTGCATACGCCATCCTGCCTCGGCCAGGAAGGCACATGCACCGACCCTGGGCCCAGGATGGGCCAGGCCAAGATCGGAGCATGTGCATAGTTTGCTTCGCCCGAACGGTGCCGTGCCGAAGTGCTGATGTTCACGGGCTCGCCTCGGCGCTCTCCGTGGTCTGGTCTTAGTTTCAGGTCGGGAGTGTCCCCCTACAGGGGGATTTTCGACGACCAATAAACAATACTCAAAACATACTGCAAGATGGTCAACAAATACTAGAAAAGTAGTCCCCAGACAATTGTTGGACTATTTTGGAATATTCCCCCTGTAGAGGGACAATGAGCTCCTGCGCGGTGCTGTGCAGAAGTGCCGATGTTCACGGGCTCGCCTCGGCCCCTTCCGTGATCCGAACTTAGTTTCACACAGGCTCCCAACTTCGCGATTCGCGCTTCGCGCTGCGCGAATAACTTCGCGCTCTCGCGCCGCCTCCCGGGGGAGAAGAGGAGGATGAGGCGGAATCGGAGCCGAACCGCGAAGCGCGAATAACTTCGTGCCCTCGAGGGCGCCCTTGTTTCAGGTCGGGCGTGTCCCCCTGCAGGTGGGCTATGGACGAAAAGCAGAAAACAGGCCCACCAGATTCAAACAGTGCTCAAACATGGTCGAAACATCGTCCCCCGACTACCTTTGAACTACTTTTGAAGATTCCTTCTGTAGAGGGACACGCCCGACTTAATCTTGGCTCTTAGGGGCGAGAGGAGCTGTTGCTCAGCGTGTCGCGCCGTCAATCCTGGCCCACCAAACTTTGATGCGACACGCCATCGACGCTGATGCTGATGTTCCGGCATGCCGGGAAACGGCAACGCTTGGGCGGGGTGAGCATGCGAGAGCCGCAGCATGCCCGACCCGTGAACAGCACAGCATGCCTGCGGGCACCAACTTGTGGGAAAAGGGGTCAAACACCCCCTCGCGTATAATGGTCACCGTTACCAGGTGAGCGTTTTTTATTTGGCGTTTCGACATTGGGCGGAAGGGGGGGGGAGGGGGGGTCTGGCTCAGGACCTCTGCTTAGTGCGACTGTCTGCAGCAGTGCGGCCGATGGGGGACGGACCCCACCTGCTCGAGACATGCGCCAACAAAAACAGCCAGGATCTACTCCATGGGGGGGGGAGCGGGGGGTGCGAAGGCCGGCGACGATAGGCAAAACAATGAATCAAAACACGCCCACCAAGGGGGGGAAGAACGACCGTTGCGCGCCAGATGATACAGCCATCAACTCGTTCTGCGCTTTCCCCAACTTCCCGTCCCACGAGGCAGAGCGGCGCGCTACCAGCGCTCAAAAGCACGGCGTGTCTCAGGGGCTGTGGCCGCAACATGGCAGCGCGAAGCGGGAAGCGGCGGAGCGGGGGGCACCCGCGCCCGGGCCCCTGCAGGGCGGTCGGGCTCGCTGAAAGAGCAAGCAAAGGTGCACGAGCCCTCGGCGTGGTACACGAAGGACAGCAATTGCAGCAACAACTCTTATTCCAGGGAGAGCGGAGGGAGGAGGAGGAGGAGGAGGAGGAGAAGGAGGAGGAGGAGGAGGAGGAAGAGGAGGAGGAGGAGCTAGGAGGAGGAGGAGGAGGAGGAGGAGGAGGAGGGGGAGGAGGAGCTAGGAGGAGGAGGAGAGGAGGAGGAGGAGGGAGGAGGAGGAGGGGGAGGAGGAGGAGGAACATGGCATGCAGCACTTTCTCACAGCAGTCCGCGTGCGGTCAGCGGGGGCGTCGTGGTTCAAGCAAGGCACGGGAGGACACAAACATCTCTACAGTCAACCCGTACCAGAAGTTCAAGGATGCGCGGCAAGGACGCAAGGGCCTTGCAGGGCCAAGTGGACGTTATTCGAAGGAGGCTGGCCAGTGAGAGTCGTCAAGGATGGGCCGAGGGGGCAAGGATGCAAGGGTACCCTTGGGAAGGTTGTCAATCTCGGAGGCCTGGAAATGGGCACCAACACCAAGACAGGGGCTGCCTCCACAGGGGGGAGATGAGCCTAGATTTCGGTGTTGTTGGTAATAGTTCGGTCACCTTGGAAGCCAGAATATTACCACCATCACCGAGATCGAGATCTTCTTCCCTCGCTGGAGGAACACCGCCGATAGTGGTGCTGGTGTCAACCTCTGGGCCTGCGACCGTCCTTACTATGCGGGTTGGCTGTACCCCCTTCTACAGCGGCATGTGCTGCACAGCCCTGGCAGCCCTGCCCTGCTCGAGCCCGCAGGCGCGGACACCAGAGATGGACGGCTCTGCACAGCTGGCGCCAGGATCAACAACAGCCCACTCGTCGGAAGGGTACCCTTACGATCTTCGTTGGTTGTGCTTCGGGCCTTGAACAGCTCTTCGCCGTGGCCCCTACCCGTGGGGCGTTGGGCCGTTCTTGATCGACACCCATGTTTCGCCTGCAGGGGTGTTTTTTGTAGGAGGGTAGCTCTTCTGTCCGCCATTGTCGGATCGTCCTCCTGCACCGAGGCGTCCTACTGGCTGTGTCAGGTCCTTCTGTCGAGGGCTTGGACATGACTGGTGCCAACCACGATAGGATGAAAAGTATAGCTCTGCCCACGGACTAGTAATGGACACTCTGCGTGGAATTTGCAGACGCGTGTATGCGTGAAGGCCATCAGGCTCGAAGTTCGAAATTCCCGACAAAGCAGCAGGCCGCTGCAAAGTGGTCCGAATTCAATTCAAAAGCTTTGACTGTGGGGACGTGGTCTTTGGCAGTGTAGCCTCGGCTGCGGAAGTTGCCCCCGCGACCTCGTCCGCCCAGTAAGCTCTGGAAGCGCGAATAGCAACACCAGAGGAACGTACAACTGCGCGCGGAGGTCCCCGCGCGGATTTCTTGGATTGGCGAAGGGCCCCCTCCACGGCGCAAGGTGTTCCGGCGCAAATCTAAGAAATCGGCGCGGGCCGTTGACATGTATGTTTATGATAACAAACGAAAACGTAAATCCCGTGACCGACACCGTAGGCATGAACCTCGCGCGAGGATCCTTCCGTGTCTGCTCGTTGGTCGACAGCTCGGTGTCGCACCAGCTTTTGTGCTCCGCTTCGTCGGAGGCCTCCTCCATCAGCCGGGTGATCAGCTCCTCGCACGCGCGGGCCCTCTTCTGAGGACACGTTGGGACGACGGATGGGCGAGTGAGGAACAGGCGTTTGCGATATATCCCCAACATCCTCTCTTCTTCTCTGCCGCTTGCTTATATTGTTTGTTTGGCTATGTCTCTCTAATTATCGCGTTCTTTCTCGGACCATCACACCAGAAACCTCATATTCCTAACCCTAGAGACCCCAGACACTGACCCTGACCAGATGACCTCACCTCCCACCAGCAACTCTACGCCTGACACCCTAAACCCTACTTCGCCAACCGCAACACACTGGCCACGTCCGCCGATTCGTCCTCAAGCCCTAGCCGAACGAGCACACGAGCATACAAGCATCGCTCTGCGCAGCTGGAGCTGGCCTCGGAGATAACTCGGCCTTGCCTGGCAGCGACAGCGGAGTAGGTATTTCACCCAGTGATTCAAGGAAGAGAGGGAGAATGAACATCGTTTTACCAATCCCCATCCCACGCAGCGTGGCCTGGTCCCCACTGGCCGATTCCCCCCCCTAGATGGGGATATAGGCCGTTCCCTTCGGGTTTCGACGGGTGTATCCCCAAGTGGGGTGGTAATTTGGCGGGGGTCCCCAGGGTGATGAGTATGGGTATTGGGGTCGGTTGAACGATACTGAGAAAAGCTCGCTCCCAACTGCACCCCGAATCCCCCCGCAACCGCAACCTGCGACGGCGGCGGGCGCTTTTCATGGGCAGCGTGGCCGACACGAATGACTTCACACGAGAAGCCCAACCTTGAGACACCAAAACGTCCATGGATTTTCGGTATGGGAACGTCACGGGTTCCGAAACAAAGCCATCGACAGCCAAGGAACCCAGGGCACCATGGACGCGAAGAGGGTGTTGCTTGGCATTTGTTTTCGCTGCGACGACCTTACGCGGGGGCTGACGCGGGCCGCCAGCGCGGCATGCTGCATCGGAAACGAGGGCGTTAACGCGCGACCTTATTGATGCGGGAAGCTCACGCGCGAATGTCGGCGCGGCTCACTCCGTGTTTGTTTTGTCGTTCATGAATGTTGATGCTTGATCCTGCATAGTTGACCTTAGAACGCCGCAGAAACAACTGCTCCAATGAAACAGTTTTTATATATATATATATATATATATAAACTCTTTGAATTCGCATCGGGTCGACACCGAATTCGGATCCCTCGATGTACGGACACCAGTCGGGACAACCGTCGGGACACTCATCGGGAAAACCATGGGGACAACCATCGGAACATCGCGGGAAACACCGAACGGGACGACCATGGGGGCGAACAATTGGATAACCATCGGGGCAACAATCGAGACAACCATCAGGCCATCGGGACAACAATCGGGGCAGTCTTTGCGACAACCATCGTGAAAACAACCGAGACAACCATCGGGAAAACCACAAGGTCAAACGTCAAGACAACCGTCGGGACAACCATCCGGATATCTATGAAAATTGCCGTCGGGCCTAACATTGGAGACCCGAGGGAGACAACCAACGGGACGACCATCGGGGCAATCATCTGGATAACCACCGGGACAGCCATCGAAACAATCAGCGAGACAACCATCGGAACATCGGGACAACAATCGTGACAACCATCGTGACCACCATCGGAACAACAATCGGGACCACTGTTGGGGCAACCGTCCAGACAACCGTCGGGGCAATCAGCGGGACAAACATCGGGTCGAGCATCGGAGCCACTTCCCGAACAACCATCGGGACAACCTTCGAAACAAACCACGCGAAAACCATCGGGACAACCGTCGAGACAGCGATCGAGATAACAATCGGGACAACGATGGGAATAGCCACCGGGACAACCATCGGGAAAAACACATCGGGACAACCGTAGGAACAACCATAGAGACAACCAACGGGACAACCATGTGGACAACAACCAAGACATCCAACGGGACAACAAACGGAACAACCTGGGCAACAGCCGGCAGAGGAGGGTGATTCATTGTTGTCCGACCTAGCTCTCGCCAGTGGATGAACTCGCGCAATTTCGCTTCGCCTGGCCCGAGCGCGTGCAACCCGCGATGCGAAGCGATTCCCTGCCTTGGGCAGCTCGCGTTTCACTTTCGCCTCACCCCTGGACCTGCGATCGTTGTGCTACTCGTGCTGCTCTTCATCCGCCTCCTGCTTTCCTTGACGCAACGCCAACATGTCGAACTGTCGGGCGTTCGCCGGCAAGCTGGCGAACGTAACGCAAATCTATTAAAGACTCCGTGGCGCCGCAAGCGACTCAGCCTGGGCCGAGGGGTCGCCCACAAGGGCGCGACCTTGCCCCGGCGACGGACTGGACGCTCACAGAGGATCTTTTCCCCGGGACCCCAGCCCAGCGAGGCAGTCCGCGAGCCCAGCGGCTGCACGCGCCTCCATGGCGGATGGGGAACGGGAAGAGGGGGAGCGGAGAGCCGCTCATCAAGGGGTCAGAATGAAGACCGAGGGTGGGCCAGCACGCTGCTCCCATTCCCCAATTGCTCCTGCCCGTTACTGGCATCTTGCGGCCTCCGGAGCAGCCCTCACGATACCCAGAGGGCCCCCCTCCTCCTCCTCCTCCTCCTCCTCCTCCTCCTCCGCCTCCGGTCCTTGATCATCTGCTTGACCTTCCCGAAGGGGTCCGCCTGGGCGGGCCCCGGGCGCGGCCGCCAGAGAGGGAACGGGCTGGCGGGCGGCGGGGCGAGGCCGGGGACGAGCCCGCTCGCGCGCGCGCGGCTCGTGTCAAGGGGGGGGGGGCTTGGGAAACGTGTGCGGGGTGCGGGGGGGGGAGGGCAATATCTGAGCGACGGACACAAAAGATTCTAAGCCAGAAGAGTTTCTCTTGTAGAAAAACACGCTACAGGGGGAAACAAACTGTTTTTCTGGCGACCTATTCACGGATTGTGGCCCCGACAACAACGGAAACTATTTGTTTTGTTTCCCGCCGCCGCCGCCGCCGACAACACCGACGACGACGAGGAAGAGGAGGAGGAGGGGGAGAAGGAGGAATAGAAGGAAAAGGAGGATACTCGGTAAATCTCAAAGGGTGAATGCTCAGAAACTCTCACTGCTCCGAAACTCATTGCTCTGAAACTCATCGCTCTGAAACTCATTGCTATGAAACTCATTGCGCTGCACCCCATTGCTTTGAACATCATTGATCTGAAACGCATTGTTCTGAAACTCATTGCTCGAGAACTTTCTCAAAAACACATTGTTCTGAAACTCTCAAAGGCTCATTGCCCTGAAACTCGTTGCTCTGAAACTCTCACTGTTTCGAAACTCATTGCTCAGAAACTCATTGCTCCGTGTTTAAAACGTGTCTCTATTTTCCGATGCCAGCAGACTCAGTAACAAGGACAACGAACGATAAAGCATGCTATCGAACATGACTGGAGCTGCTCAAGCAGCCGCCTCCAAGCCCCTGTGAGCTAGGGGACACGCTTGCCAGCAGGAGGTTGGGCAAGGGAGGGCAGGGAGGGACAGCCGTCTGAAAGTTTTGGGGTTTGGCCCAAAAACGGCAGCGGAACGGATACACTCAAGAACACATTATCCAGCACGCAGGGCCATGTGTTTAAAACGTGTCTCTATTTTCCGATGCCAGCTGACTCAGTAACAAGGACAACGAGCGATAAAGCATGCTATCGAACATGACCAGCGCTGCTCAAGCAACCGTCTCCAAGCCCCAAGACCATATCTATATATGAACCGGGAGGGAGGGTGGGTAACTTCAAAAACAAACGTTATAGAGTCACTCCTGAGGCGGCAGTTTACAACACGAATTTACGAATAGCAGAGAAGATGAGCCATTTTCTCACAGAGCCCGACGGGATAGTCGGAGGCCTTTTCCGAATGGAACGTGCCGCTGTCATCTTACCCTGCAATCTCCGCATGAGGGTGGCCACTAAACGAACACACACCATGTCCGCGGCACTTGTCACAGCTGAGGGGGTCGATCACACAGTTAGCATACAACAAACGGGTACCTTACGATAGCATAACTTGAATGCACAATGGTTCAATCCACAACATTGTAATGGGCAATAAGCTTCTGATGCCGAGGATGGAGCCACAACGTGGAGCCCTGAGGGTTCTCGATGATGACGGGGGTCCCAAGAGCAGCCAACTGGAAGAAGAGACTGGCGGCCCATGCGGCCTGGCGGTTGCCCAACTGTACCTTACGCCGATCATTCTCCGACAGGTTTGAAGATGCAATCGCGAGAACGAGTTGGGCCAGGCCAACCGCGAGGGCGAGAATTCCGTCTGGCTCGAGACCACGACGCACAGACTAGGCCAATCCAGACAAACTTTAGCCCTCGCCCGGCAAGCCCAAGCAGGAGCCGAGAAACATCAGGATGCAGAGCGCCCTCTAGCTCTGAGTCGGCATGCTCGAAAAAAACGCACGGCCAATCCAGCGCGGACACAGGCGGCTGAGAGCCCACGGCTGCCTGCCATTAGCTCGACCCCGATCTGACCGACAAACTTTGTGACTCGAGGCCTCTGCAGCAACCCGCCTCGCGGGCCCCAGTCGTCGAGCGGCCCGAGCCTGGCTACCGCGCTGGCCAGGAGGCACGCGCGCGCCCGCCGAAGAGGTCCTGGAGCCTCGTCCACTGGACCTCGCCGTGAGCCCTGGCGGCGGGCGACAGCGCCGACAGCAGCTGCTGTACCATGCCAAGCTTTGCATACCGCTTCACACTGCTGCCCTGGCTCCAGTGCCTCCTCGTCTTGACCTCGGCGAGCGCCCGACGCGCCGACGGCGCGTCCTCGCTCGCCCCGCCGCGCCGCAGCTGGCACAGGCACACGTCCTGCAGCCCCTGCGCCTCGGTGACCCTCCGGAACAGGACGGCCATCTCGATCCCCGTCGTGGTGAAGAGCAGCTCGTGGCCCTGGCGGCCATGATCGCGAAGGGCAAGCAGGGGCCCCAGCCACAGCGGGTTGTCGAGCGGCACCGCCTCGTCGGACGTCCCCGTCTTTGTCAGGAACCGAGGCGGGTTCGCACCCTCGGCGAACGGGGCCAGAGGGCGCGCCGAGGTCGGCGCCAGGAGGAGCGACCACGTCGCCATGGCCCCTCCGGCACGCGTTGGCTGAAGGAGATCCCTGACCAGCACCTTCCTCAGCGCGCCGGGGCGGATGAACGCGCTGCACGTCGCGAGCACCTGGGGCGCGGTATCCCGCTCGCCCAGCGAGAGGAGCCCCGAGATCGCAGAGCCCGTCGCCATCGGCAGCGCGTCCTCCGCGGAGGCGACAAGGTAGTCGGCGTCGCCCTTCGCGCAGCCCGCGTGCATAAACATGTCCAGCACCGACGGCACCTGCACCTCGAGCTCGTCGAGCGTCTCCGCCGGCTGACCCACGAACTCCACGAAGGCCTCGAAGCACTTCTAGTAGGAGAGCCTGGCCGAGGCACCCACGGCGGCCCGCTCGCATGTGGGCGGGCTCGCGGCCGTCGCCGGGGAGGTCCGCGGGGCCGCCAGCGCCGCCTGCAGCCGTGGGCGGAGCGCCCCCTTGCCGGCCGCGGCGGCTGGGCGCCGCAGCGGCTCCACCGCGGCAGGCCTCCGCCGAGGCGCTGCAGCTGGGGCTGGGCGCGCGGCTGGACGAGCCTTCGCCGCCGCGCGCCGAGCCGCTCGGACCGGCAACGCGCGAGAGGGCACCTCCGCCAGGCAGGGCGCAGTCCCTCCAGCCACGCTGAGGGGGCCCAGCATGCGGCCCGCACGGTGGCTGCGCCCCGCGGCGGCCCCAGATTCGACTGGGGGCGTCTGCGGGGTTCAACTCGGAAGCAATCCAGCGAAAACGAGCCGAAATGCTACAGGCTATGGACAAGGCGGCCACGCGTCGACAAATCTGCAGAAGACCATGCGATGTGGCCCTGCCTCTCTCCAGAGCCAACACGACCCCAAAATTGTAACTAAATACAACCTCCTGGAACCGTGTCGCTGGGGATCTCTGGCATCGCGACGCAACGCCCAGACAACGGCACGACCCTCCTCGACACCAATGCGCTCGGAACACTTGAGAGGCGCAGCATATACAACTCGAAAACGGGCATCCAGGATCTCGCGGGACACCTCGGGGAAACCAACGGCGTGCTTCCACCCTCGCTCCGAACGTTTCCCCCAAGCAGTGTGAGGCAACGTGATCTCGTCGAGACCGTCGCGGGCTCGGGCCCGAGGGGCCCACTCGGAGGGCTCCAACCTGCGGCATCTCCACCTCCCCCTCCACCTCCCAGCCTGGGCAAAAACATCCCGCGGTACCGAGGCTTCGGTGACCCCCATCCCGGACGTGGACGCATCAGTGGCAACCACCTCGCTGGCCCATGGCAAAGACAGGGGAGACTGGAGATGGATGCAGAGGACCGCCATCACCCAGCACTCGTAGCGACAGCTTTTCCACAAGACCCTGGGCTTGTCGTAGGTCGACCTCGCAAACTCATACACCGCACGCATGACCGCAAATCCCGGGCGACAGAAGAGGCAGGCGGCAACATAGTGTCCCAAGATCAACTCGAGCTGACGACCACTGACATACGGTCCCGACGCAAGCCAGAACAGAGCCTTTCTCACGACCAATAACTTCTTGAGGGACCGACGAGTACTAAGGCCCAGTCCTCCGACATCAGCACCCAGAAAGACGCCCTCCGACGACGCCTCTGAGATATCGTGCACGGCGAAAACCTCGGCCTCGAACTGGGCGACGATGCGGTCCCGGGTCTCCTGGGCGGGTCCAGGATCCAATGCAAACACGTAAACATTGTCTGGGTAGGGGGCCTCGATCGGGCCCTCGACGACCGACGGGAGAGGCCAAGACCCAGTAGCAACCATGGCCGAGGGAACTCCAGACCTGCGGACAACTTCGAGGTGTAAACGTTGAACGAACCAGCATCGGCAATGCCTGCATCGCCGGGTCGACGAAGTCGCTCGAGTCATTCGGATACTTCACCGGGATGCCTGCGCGGAGAGCCTCGGCTCGGCTGACCTTCGGGAGGCAGAAATACTGACACAGATCACCGACGTCACCACGCTGATAGAAGGCGCACTGGATATCCGCACATGCACAGTACAACTGCCTGCCCTCAGGTACCTCTAACGCGCCGAGGCTCTCCGCCGCAACTATCTCGGTGAAAGGAGAGCGTTTAAAATGCTGGTTTGCCTCGCGACAATCAAGCACGAGTCGGATCTCATCGGTTTTCTTAGCTGCAAAAAACGGGGTGGCAGACGCCTTCCTAGTCGAGGTGGCGGTGGGCACATTGCAGCTTGCGAGCTGCCAAGAAAACGCACATACTGGGATCGGTCTTTTTTCCGCACCTCATCCATGTAGGGGCGGACCGGGCCCCCCTCCAGGCGAGCCTGTCTGACCTCGGGCTCTGCCAGGAGCTCTTGAAAGTGCGACGGCGCGTGCGCGGCGCCCGAGTCAAGGGCGCCTCGAAGACTGACGGGCCGGCGCCCTGTAGGGGGCAACGAGAGGGCGTCGGCGCAATGCGGAACAACCGAAATCACCGAGCCCTGGTAGTCTAAGCGCGATCCCAGAAGCTCACTAGCAGCTTCACGGGGACTCATATTAAATATGTCGGGAAAAGCGTGCCGAGCAGCGCGAGCAGTAGGGAGCAGCCTCCGCTGTGTCATTCTCTGCGCCTCGGCGGGCACACTGACCGAGGAACGCTCGCAGCCATGAGGCCCATCAGCGAGTCATTCACATCACTCAAAACGTCCCGACGGATGCATCTCCGGCGCTGCCCAGCGCGGGCGCGGCCAGCGCCGGCAAAATCGGCCTCCTGCTCGTCAAGCAGCGGGAGGGGGAAGAGGTCGCTCAAGCAGCCTGGCGGTCTCACAAGTCCCGGCGGCGGCCTGAAGCCGGGCGGCCGGGCGCCCGGCCAGACCCACGTTGGAGCCGCTCCCTCTCTAAAAACTTGCTGGTCTCTCCTAGCCGCAGCGGCTCCGACAGCTGAGGGGCCGCTGTGGTTCAAGTCGGTCATGCTTTAGTGCCACCCTTCGGGGGTGGCTTCCGTGCGTCACGCGCCTTCCGTCTCTCCTTCTCGATTGCAGCATCCTTCGCGAACTCGCCCGCAACATGAGAGTGCAAGCTCGGGGCGACCAGCGCGCCCGACCCTGTGTCATCCTCACCCAAGAAGTAGGTGGCCCCTTCGAAATTCGGCTTGTCCGGGTCGGACTTGCGCGCCTCCTCAAGGAGCTGGCGCCGCCGGTTGAGGTACTCCATGCTGGTCAGATTCGCCAAGGTTGACCCCGTCCACGGCGCGCGCCAGCTCGAGCGCCCTCGACGCCACCTTGTGTTCGTGAGCCGAACGGCTGGACGCCGGCACGCGGCTCTCCACAAGCCAGCGCTCGCGCGAGGCCATGAAGCCGCCTGGGCTCCGAACCTGCAGCGCTGACACCGTGTCGCCCATGCTGGGCGGCCCCTTCAGGCGGATCTCCATGCGAGCATCCTTGCGCAGCAGCAGGGCGTCGAAGGTGAAAAGGGGCGGGCTCAGCAGGCTGTCGGCGCGGCAGGAGGCGGGGCTCGCCCCGCGTCAGGAAGAGCTGCCGCTCCGCAGCCCACACATCCAAGTCCACGTCGGCGGCGACGAAGGAGCCTGTCGCGATGTCACCCCCGACGGTCACGAACGCCCGGCCGCCGAAGTCCAGCGCACCAGCGGGATACATGAACTCTTGCCCGACCGCGTGAGTGGCCCCAGGCACGGCGAAGACCCAACATCCGCCAACTGGCGCCAGCCTCGGGGCGGGCGGCGGCGGCGGCGGGGCCCCTGGCGCGGCCGGCGGCGGCGCCGCCGGCAAGGGCGCAGGGGCCGCGACCGGGGCGGCGCCCCCAGGGCCGCCCGCCGCGCCCGCGCCCCGGGGCTGAGCCAGGCCCCTCGCCCGGCGCTCCACGCGAGCGTGAGAGGCCCCCTCGGCGAGCAGGGCCGCGAGGTCAGCGCCGGCGGGCTGGGCCGCGAACCTGCAGAGCCTTGCGTTCGCAAGCCCTGCGGGGAGGCCCCCCGTCACGGGCGAGACCGCACGCCCGAGAGGTCGCGGTTGGCCGAGTCGAGCTGCTCGATGAAGACGCCCCCATCGGGAGTCATCACAACGTGCTCCGCGCCCGAGATCCAGCCCATGATCAGGCGTTCATGCCAGGGCCGATTGTCGGCTGGATCATCATACTGGACGAAGGCGAACGCTTCAGGCGGGAGCGTCGCCATGGCGCTGCCCCGGCGGGCGAGCGCCTCAGCCCAGCGTCAGCGCGCCCGCGCCGCGCGCAGCGCGCCCGCGGAGACCGCCCGGCGCAAGGGAAGCGCCGGGCGACGGCGGGGCCGGGGCCTGCGGGGCCGCGCCCGCGGCGGGCAGGGCCTGGGGCGCGCCCCCAAGCTCGAGCGCCGAGCCCTGCGAGGGGACCCGCGCTGCCCGGGCCGACGCGCCCGCCCGGCCGCCGCAACGCCTGACGCAGTGGCCGAGCAGCGCGGTGGAAGCCACCCCCGCGACGAAGCCGCCCAGCCCCGTCGGCCAGTGCGGCGGGCAAGGAGTCGGCGCCGGCCACGATGGGCAGGTCAGACACTTCGGGCACAGGTGCTCTGGGCCGCACCGATCCAGCTGCCTCTCCAGCAGCTTCAAGGCCCCCTCGTCCGAGTTGAACTGACAGGCGCAGCTGCACTCGCACAAGCACGGTCGGACCACACCGCCCAGCCAGCCCCCAGCAAATGACGCGGAGGTGACTTGGGCGAGCGGGCCCAACATTACACAGCCGTCTGAAAGTTTTGGGGTTTGGCCCAAAAACGGCAGCGGAACGGAGACACTCAAGAACACATTATCCAGCACGCAGGGCCATGAAACTCATTGCTCTGGAACTCATTCAGCAGGAACGAGTCAAGTACAATTGCAGATATCAAGCATTGGTGCATCTGTGCCGTCGCGGGTTTCGAGGTAGGCTCGGAGCGCGCCCCTGGCTTGGGCTACTCGTCGCTGCGGTCGGACTCAGCCGTCCAGAAGCGCAAATCTTGCTATGCGTACCGCACTCGCCGGCGGCCGAGGCCTGTCGACACTGGGCGGCGCTGCAACTAGCAGAATATTCAGCAGGACTAGAAGACAGCACGGACACCAAGTAGACACGTGCAATCAATCACTTCGGGCTGCAAGCGGAAGACTGCATGTGCCAACCGGGAAAAACTTCCCGCGCCAGGCTATTCGCCTGCGTGGCAGTGCGGGGCGCCGCGGCTCTCATTCGGACACCGGGACAGGCCGACAAAGAAACGCGGGCCAGGCAAGGGGCAGAAACGAGCAAGAGAGCGAGGAGCCGAGGAGCGAGAAGGGGAAGGGGAGAAGGAGGGAGGACGACAGGAAAGGACAGACCGGGCCGACAGACGGACGGACAGGGGACGGGGGGACAGGGGGGGGGGGCCAAGCGGAAGGGAAAGGGAGAGCACACACCACACAAGGGCAAAGAAGCACACGGGCGAGGGGGGACACGGAGAGAGAGAGGGGGAGGGGAGAGGAGAAGGAAGAAGGAGGAGCCAGGGGCCGGGGCCAAGGCAAAGAAGAAGGAAAGCGGGCCGAAAAGCACACCGGTGCGTCAGCGCATCACGAAAATTGCGAGCTCCCCTCTCGACGGGAGAGACGCTCCACAGAGCAGCCAGGCCTGGAGGGAGAAGGGGGGGGAAGGAGGAGGCAGGGGAGTGGCCTACAATGAGCCCTCATCCTCCTCCGCCAGAACGTCCCTGGCCGCTGCGACTGCTCCTGAGGCAGGGGCCTCCTCCACCTGCCGCCGGAGGATGGCGCGGGCGGACGCCCTCCGGATGGCCACCGACAGCTGCTGGAAAAGGCGCGTCGCCCCGGACCCCGGCTCCTCGCCCAGGCGCGCGTCGCTGGCCCTCGCCCGGAGACGGAGCGTCGCAGCCCCCGTCGGGCCCCAGCCGCCCGTTGGCTCTGCGACCAAGGGGATGAAGAGCAAGCCCTGTTGTCTGCAGAGAGCCTCTGTGTCGAGGTGGGTGCGCTTGACCACCTCGTACGCCTCGGCGGCGCCCCCAACCCCTTGGAAAGCCACGCCCCGGGCAGCCTGCCGATGCGGTGACGAGACCGCAAAGTCGAAAGCGGCAGGCGCGCCTAATTAGGTGCCAGCTCGGGATGTACACGTCGGCGGGGCGGCGCCCGATGGCGCGGTCGTCGCCCGGGCGCGGCGGCAGGAGCCCCGGCCTCTCCAGCTCCGGGTTGCAGCCGGCAGCGGCGGCGAATCGCCCGACCAAATTGCGCGAGGCGTTGCGCCGGCAAACCCGGCCCCCCGCGCCCGCGCAGAGGCCCGCGTGTCGCTCGTGCCGGTCGCAAGGCTCGTCGCAACAGGGGCAGAAGTGGTCCGCGTCGTAGACTGGCAGCAGAATTCGCCTCCTCAGTTCGGTGAGGAACTCTTCCGGCTCGAAAAGCAGCCCCAGCTTCTCGTTGGGCGCCACTTCCAGGAAGCCCGGCGCGCCGGGGAGCAGCTCGGACTGGATGTCCGCGCGGTCGGCTGCCCCGAGGTTCTCCAGAAAGTGTCGGTGCCAGCAGTCGTCGAGCGCGGCGGAGAGGTCCTTCTGCTTGGCCGTCTCGAGAGCGCCCGGGCGCAGGCCGGCGGACTGCGGGAGCTGCGCGTTGTGCGCAGAGAGAGCAGCTCCAGCCCGCGTGCCCGCGTCCTCCGGTGCCCAGCTGTGCGCCGGGTCCAGCTCCGAGCACAGGCGCCGCGTGGCGCCGAGGCTCGCCAGGTAGGCGCCCGCCGCGCGCGCTTCCAGCCGCCGCAAGCCCAGGCCGGCGTGCGCCAGACCCCTGGAGGCCTGGTGCCACTGGGCGTCTGTCAGGTCCGCGGCCAGTAAGCCCCCCAGGGCAGCCCGCTGCGCGGCGTCGAAACTTCGGAAGGCGCCAGCCTGCAGTTCCGGCGGCGCGGTGCGCGCGCAGTAGACCAGTTTGCCAAAGCTCGCGCAGTGCCGGAGAAGAAGGAGGGCAACCTGCGGGTGCAGGGTCTCCAGCGCCGCCAAGGTCGGCCCCACCTTGGTAGCCCGTCGCTCAGTGAAGGCCTCGGTGAAGACCTGGTCCCCGATCGGCGCGCCGAGGAGCCGAAAACCGCCTCGCTGGACAACTCGGTCGGCGCCGGTGTGGGGATCCGTCAGCAGAGGCGCGGGGAAAAGTCGATCCAGGCCCTCTGGCTTCTGCCCTCCAGGCACCACGAGCTCGCACTTGCCCAAGTTGAGTGCAAGCCCCAGCGCTGGGCAGCGCACTTGCAGGGTAGCGAGCGCTCGCGCCACGGCCTCTGCTGTGCCTGCCAGGAAGCCGTCGTCCAAGTAGAAAGCTTTCAGGTCCAGCTCCCGGTCCCTTGCCAATTCCTCCAACACTGGGTGCACGGCCAGAGAGAAGAACAGGGGGCCCAATGGGTCGCCCTGCTGGATGCCAGCTTGGGAGGACAACGCGTGCACGCCGAAACGCAAGTGCGAGTGTTCCGCGTACGTCCAGCGCGCCCACCGCTCCAGCTCGGGGAAGCGGTCGCCGACGGCTCGCAGCGCCTCGCCGCGCCGCAACGTGTTGAAGGCGTTTGCGAAATCCAGCTTGAGTAGGACCTTGTTGCCCGGAGTGCTGTTGCGTTCACACCACTGGCGCACGGCGTGCACGGTTGCCTCTGCACCCAGCGGGCTGCAGCAGCCTGTCTGCAGCGGCCAGAGCGTCTGCCGGGCCCTGCTCTTCACATGTTCGCACAGGACCTTGCTCGTGAGGCGGCGGAGCACCTAACCGACTGCGATTGGCCGGACACCGCCGTCCTCCTTTTCCAGCGCCACCAAGCTGGCCCCAGCAAAATGCGGCGCCAGCTGCCGGGGCGCTTCTCCATTCGCCAGCAGGTGTCCAACGGCAGCGAGCTGCTCGCAAACTGTCGCACGAGTGGCGGGTGTGAGAGCGTCCAGCAGGTGTTGGGCTCGAAGTCCAGAAAGGGCCTGGGGCGGTGCCTTTTGGGAAAGCGCGCAAGGCCTTGAGCACGGCGTTGGGCGCGAGCTCTGGCGCGGCCAGGAGCGAGTCCAGGTGCCCGAGCGGCTCGGCAGGCGCCCTCGGGTGCAGTCGTTCGAGTGCCATCACCGTTTCCCCTTGTCTGTTCGGCCAGACCTTGGGCCGTCAGGGCCGCGCACCCTTTGGCCAGAAAGCCCTCTGCGGCGTAGGCCGTGGCGCGCGCTGCCCGTAGTTCGGCCGTGGGCGGGCCGGCTGGCCGACGACGTCGGCCAGGCTGCGCGTCGCACGCCTCCTGCTAGAGCGACTGTCGCTCGCCCGCCTCCCAGCGCGCGAGTCGTTCCAACGTGAACGCCGCGAGGGCCGATTCGTGGTCGCGGCCAGTGCGCGGGGGCACGCTGAGGAAAGTTTTGGCCAACATCTGCAAGTCCGTCACAGCAGCCACCGAGTTGTGCGCCACCACACCCGCAAGGCAACGAGTGAGCGCGCGGGACCAGGCGGCCGGGGCACGCTTGGGGACGTACCGGAGGGTAGGCACGCTCGCGGCGTGGACGCTCGCCAGGGACGGGCGGCCTTCCCCAACCCCTCTGCCGGCGGCCGCGTGGACTGGCTGCGGCGCGGCGGCCATCCGGAGGGCTGCGCGGTCCGCTGGGCGGCACGCGGGGTGCACTCCCCGATTGGCCCCCACGCTGAGGCCGCAGACTCGGCATCGAGCGCGGCCGTGCCGGCGAAACCACTCGGGATCCACCTGGCCGGCGAGCTGCCCGCTGACGTGCGCGTCCAAGTGGCGATGGAGGCCTTGAGCGTTGGCCCAACCCTGGTGCCTGGCCGGGTCGGCGCACGGGCAGCCGGCCACAGGGCAATGCCAACGCGTCGGCGGCGGGTGTGGCGGCACGGCCGGCATCGCCTCGTCGAAGTCCAACCTGCGGACCCCCCGGCGCAAGGCGTCAACTTCCATCTCTGGCCGTTGGCCAGGTCCTCCCGGAGGGACCGAGCCCGCCCTGTCGGCAGCGGCAGCTGGACCCTCTTGAGCTCCACGACGGCCAATGGGGGGTGAGGACGCGCCGCGCTCCCGGCTACGGCTCCTCTGCCGCGCCTGTCGCTCACCGCCCAGTGGCGTGCCTGGCAATGGGGGGTCTTCCCCTGGGTATCCCAATGTAGAATCGAAATCCTTCCCCCGCCAGGTGGCGGCCAGCGCCGCCGGTGCGGAGTCGCCGGCCATCAGCAAGCGAGAGAATGTGGCCCATACGTCCGTTGAGTATGCAATCGAACCAAAATGCCCGCCTGCCAGAAGCAGCCGGGGCTTCATGACGACCGAGGCCGTGAGCTCGCCGGAAACAGCCAGCCCCAAGCATGCCCCCAGACGAGCAGCCACCAGCATCCAGCCGCCGAGCCGTAGGCCTGCCCAGAGGTGCGCGCTCCGAGCCGCACGGGGCCGAGGCAGCTGGGCGACAGCGGGTGCCGGGCTCCTCTCTGCCCAGCCGCGGTAGAGCGCCTCGTGCACGGAGCGCTCGTCCCACGAGATCGCCGCGGCTGACCCGTGCCGAAAGCCTGGCGATGCGGAGAGGAACCCGCGGTGCTCGAAGATGAAGGTCTCGAGGTAGAAGTTCCGCCGGCCCGGCGCCTGCGTCCTCGGCCAGTCGTCCGGCCGGAAGCGGGCGTGCGTGAGCCGCAGGAACGCGCGCCTCTCCTCGGCCGCGAGGCGGCACTGGAGTCGCCGAGCCCCCAGTGCGCCTTCCCGGCTGCGCGGAGGCCGTCCTGCGGCGGGCTGGAGCGGGCACGCCTTGCACCATCCCCACGGCTGGCCGCGGGCCGCTGAGATGCAGCCGGCGATGACTCCCAAGCATCGAAGCAGCTGCCTCAGACCTCCCATGATGGTGCGAGGGGTGCCGAGGAGGGGAGGGGGAGGAGGGGCGCAGGGGGGGCGCCCGCGCCCGGGGCGTTGCCTCGGATTACGTGGGATCCTGAGGCCAGAATTGCGCCTTGAGCCAGGTCGATGGAACTCATTGCTCTGACGCTCATTGCTCTGAAGCTCATTGCTCTGAAACTCATTGCTCTGAAACTCCCTCTTGGGGGCCTCCGGGGGCGGCTCGGAGCGCTCTGAAACCATCTTGGAAGCGCGCCGGAGCCCCTGGGGCCCCTCGGGAACGCTCCCTCCCTGTCCTGGCCCCCTATTGGAGCCGCCATGGGCTTCTGTGGAGCCGTCCTGGCGCAATGTTGGGCCGTCTTGGGGCCCCCCTGGCAGCCTCCTGAAGCGTGTTGGGACGATCTTCAAGGCCTGTGTGGCCGTCTTGGACGCTTCGAAGACGAGGAACACGGGAACTCCCGCAATTCACGTTTTCCGTAAGGATGGGGACGGTTTGTCCTTGCTCAGGCTCTCTGGGGGCTCTCTCTGGAGCCCACTCTTGGGCCGTCGGGAGCGCTCGGGGCCCGTCTCGGAGGCCCTCTTGGACCGTCTTCGGGCCCTCTTGGGGGCCTCAGCGCTCTGAAGCCATCTTGGAGGCGCGCTGGAGCTCCTGGGGCCCCTCGGGAACGCTCCCTCCCTGTCCTGGCCCCCTATTAGAGCCGCCATGGGCTTCTGTGGAGCCTTCCTGGCGCAGTGTTGGGCCGTCTTGGGGCCCTCCTGGAGGCCTCCTGAGGCGTGTGGGGACGATCTTGAAGGCCTGTGTGGCCGTCTTGGACGCTTCGAAGACGAAAAGCAAGGAACTCCCGAAATGTACGGTTTCCACAGGGATTGGGACGAGTTTTCCTTGTTCGGGCTCTCCAGGGGCTCTCTCTGGAGCCCACTTGGAGCATTCTGGAGGCCTCTTGGGCCGTCGGGCGGCTATCTTGGGCGTCTTCGAGCGCTCGGGGCCCGTCTCGGAGGCCCTCTTGGACCGTCTTCGGGCCCTCTTGGGGGCCTCCCAGGGCGGCTCGGAGCGCTCTGAAGCCGTCTTGGAAGCGCGCCGGGGCCCCCGTGCCGCGCCTGTGGCCGCCAGAGGGGCCGGTCCACGGCGACTGCTCGCCCATTTGGCTAGCGGTGAACGCTGCATCATAGTAGAGATAACGTCGGGCTTCAGTTTTGCTTTCCACGTCGCGCAGAGCAGCGACAAGGCCTGCTGCGACTGCCTGCCCTGCTCGCACGAGGTAATCAAACTGCCCCTGGGCTCTCCACAGCATCGCGAAATTCGCTGCCTTCGCTGGCGACATTCTTTACATGCACACGGGCCTGGCAATAGAATACGGATTACGCTATTCCGCTGCGATCAGGCCGCACATCTCCCTCGTCAACGACTGCACCAGCTTCTTTTGTCCGCCATGCTCGCACATGCTGGCTACAATCCCATAGGCGAACAAGTCTGGGTACAAATTCATCTGGCGGATGTCTCTGAGCAGAGACAGAGCCCTCTGCCACTGCTTGCCGTTCTGGCACGCGCTGATCGCAGCGTTGTAGCTGACTAGGGCTGACCCGTGGACTCCGTCCACGACATCTTTCTGGAATGGTTCTCGGAGGAACGGCGCAGATTGTACCGAAAATCTACAAACACGGCGGCGGCTCGGGCGGCGGCAGCGAGACCGCGCCTTCGTGTCCGAGCTCTTGCAGCGCTGCAGCAGCTTGGCCCAGCGCACTGCTCGTTCACCCCCCTCCTATTGAGGACAGTTTCGAAGTCTCTCGGGGATGTGCGTCGAAGTCGAAGCCCATCTGAGGCGTCTCAGGAGCGCTCGGGGAAGGGCTCGGGAGGCCATCGGGGAAAGCCACCGAAAGCGCCGGGGAGGCTCGCAAGGATCTACAGGGAGGGCCCAAGAGAGCTTCAAGAAAATTTGAAATCCAGTGAACTCTTAAGAGAAACCGCTGTTGGGTCGGCCATCACCTCCGGGCGCGCCTTGATGGTGCGATCCAGTCGCATCACCGCCAACGGCAGGGTTTGCTCGCCATGTCCCATTATGTTCGCCCAGAGGGTCTGTCGAGGCCTTCGGGCGAACAGAACGGGACAGGGCAAGGAATGGGGAAGACATGTCCGAATCTCCTGGGCCCCCCAGATGCTCGTCCGAAGAATGCGGAGAGGTCCCAGGGTCATATCAATTGGCTGCTGTCCCGGGGGTCCGGTCTGCTTGGCCCGAAGAGTTTGCCAAGGCCCCTGGGGGAACAGAATGGCACAACATATCGGGCAAAGGGGGGCGGTAGCTGGCCTGTCAGACCCGGCGTTCGTCTTCTGCCCAAGCGGCGCGGGGCCCACGGGCCCCAGGGTTGGCGTCCCGCTGGGATTCCTCTTGTTCGCCCACAGGGTTGGAGGAGGCCTCCAGGCGAACAGAATGGGGCAGGACAATGAATGTGGGAGACTTGTCGCAAGCTCCCAGCCCCCCCAAGTGTGCGCCCGAAGGGTGTGGGGCCGCGTTGGCTCCCTCAAAGGGCCGTCTTGGAGCCGTCTAGGCCCGTCTTGAGGGCGCCGTTTGCCCTGATGGGGCCGTCTTGGTTCGTCGTGGGCCCCTCATGGGCGCGTCCGTAGGCCGTCCTGGGCCCATCGGGGTCCTCGTGGGGCTGTCTTGGAGCCGTCTGGGACCGTGAGGAGGCCGCCTTGGAGTCGTCTGGGGCCCCTCCTGTGCGCCTCCTTGGGCTGTCCTGGGCCCAGCAGGGGCCGTGTTGGCACCCTCTTGGGGCTGTCTTGGAGCCGTCTTGAGCCGTCGCAGCGCGCCTTGGGTTGTGCTGGGTCCGTCTTGGCCCGTCTTGGGGCCTTCCTGGGCGGTTCCTCGGACCCTCCTGGGACTTTCTGGGGCCTCTTGGTGCATCGGACCGCCGAAACGGCGGGAAACGCAAAGGGTGTAACAGTAAACAATGGAAAATTAACGATTTTTGCCAGCTGGGACTCTCTTGCCATCTTGGCCCGTCTTGAGGCCCCGAACGGGCGCGTCCTTGGGCCGTCCTGGGCGCACCCTCCTGGGACCGTCTTGGAATCGTCTTGGGCCGTCTTGAGCGCGCCTTGGGCCGTCCTGGGCCGGTCTGGGGCCGTGTTGGCACCCTCGCGGCGAGGAAGCTCGGAGGCGGGCTCGAGGCCTCTTCGGGGCCATTTTGGAAGCTGTTGGGGCCTCTGTAGGGGCCTCGTTTGGGCTCCTTGGGAGCCTCCTGGGGCCTCTTCGGGGGATTCTTGGCGGCCCTTGGGGCCTCTTGGGGGCCTGTTTGGGCCTCCTGGCGCCGGATTTTCGGTCCGTGGTCCCCCTCTTGGCCCCCTCTTGGGCCTGTCTTCGGGCCCTCGTGGGCCGTCTTGAGCGTCTCTTGGGTCGTCTTGGGGCCCTCTTGGGCTGTCTTGGGGCGCTCTTGGAAACCTCTTGGGCCGTTCTGGGGCGCTCTTGGAGGCCTCTTGGGCCGTCTTCGAGCGTCGGAAAGCGGAAAAGGCGAGAAGGCCAAAATCCTTCCAAAACCGTCGTAAAGCGGACGATTTTGAGGCCCAAAACCGTCCAAAACCTCCTGAGGCGGTCCCCTCGTCCGCCCCCCTCGCTTCGAAGCAGTTTTTAAGCCCCGTGGCACCTCTTGGGGATCTCTTTTGGGCTCCTGGGGGCCTCTTGGGCCTCCACTGGATTCGCTGCCCTCGGTCGGCAATCGTCGATCCTACGACGACTCTCCCCAACGGAGAAACATCGAAGGCCCTCGGAGCGTCCAACATTGTTCTTTTGTGCCTTCGATATGCCGGTCGCCTCTCGTCCGCTCCCCCCCTCCTGGAAGCAATTCTGAGGCCACTTAGGGCTTCGTGGGGGCCGTTTGGGGATCTCTTGGGGCGTTTTTGCCTGCGATATGCCTGTCGCCTCTCGTCCGCTCCCCTGCTCCTGGAGGGAATTCTGAAGGCACTGAAGGCTTCGTGGGGGCCGTTTCGGAGCCTCTTCGGCCTTCTTTTGGGCCTCCCGGGGGGCTCTTAGGGCCCTCTCGGGTTGTCTTGGGTGCCTCTTGTGCCGTCTTGGGGCCGTCTGAGACCCGTCTCGGCGCCTCTTGGGCTGTCTTGGGCCGTCTTGGGCCGCTCCTGGGGCCGTCTTGGGTGCCTCTTGGGCCGTCTTGGGCGCCTCCTGGGCCGTCCTGGGGCCGTCCTGGGGCGTCTTGGGACCGTCTGGGGGCCCTCCTGGCCCGTCTTGGGGCTCTCTTGGGGTCCTCTTCGGCCGTCTTGGAGCGGTCGGGGGGACTTCTTGGGCCGTCTTGGAGCGTCGGGAAGCCGAAGAGGCGAGGAGGCCGAAAACATCGAAAAACACAATAGAAATCCACGATTTCTGTCGCTCGGGGCCCTCTTGGGAGGCCTCTTGGGAAGCCTCTTCGGGCGTCTTGGACGCCTCTTGGGCCGCCTGGGGTGAATCTCGGGCGTCTTGGGCCCATCTTTAAGCGTGCCGGGGCTCTCCGGGGCCATCTTGGGAGCTTCTGGGGGCCCTCCCGACATGTCCTGGAGCCTGCCTGGGCGGCCCGGGGCGGCCCGGGGCCAGCCCGGGGCGGTTTCGGTGCATTGGGGCCTGCGCCATTCTGGCACGCACTGGGCCCTGCAATGTAGTAGAGACTAAAGCCGACCCGTGGACTACGTCCACGACATCTGCTCGAGATGGCGAGCGGTGTCTGGGCAAGCGTGCTTGCTTCTGCCTGGTGCCTTTTTTAACCGTTTGGGTGCCTCTTGGGAGTTGTTTCGGCCTCTTTGGGGCCTCTGGGGCCACTTCGGGCGCCAGAGTGTACGCCGGGCGATGGCTTGGTAGGGGAGGGGCGGCGGAAGGGTACCAAGCCAGCGGGGTACCAAGCCGGCGGCATCGTGGGAGGGCGGGAGGAGGAAGGGGGAAGGGCTCCCGGATACCAAGCCGGCAAGGTACCAAGCCAGCGCTGGCTTGGTAGGGGGGGGGCTGCGGGGGGTATCAAGCCGGCGGGGTACCAAGCCGGCGGCATCGCGGGAGCGCGGGAGGGAGGGGAGGGGCTCCCGGATACCAAGCCGGCGGGGTACCAAGCCGGCGCTGGCTTGGTAGCGGGGGCGGCGGGGGGAGGTACCAAGCCGGCGGGGTACCAAGCCGGCGGCAATCGTGGGAGGGCGGGAGAGGGGGGGGAAGGGCCCCGGATACCAAGCCGGCGGGGTACCAAACCGGCGCTGGCTTGGTAGCGGGCGAGCTGCGGGGGGTACCAAGCCGGCGGGGTACCAGGCCGGCGGCATAGCGGGAGCGCGGGAGGGGGGGAATGGCTCCCGGATACCAAGCCTGCGGGGTACCAAGCCGGCGCTGGCTTGGTAGGGGGCAGGCGGCGGGGGGAGGTACCAAGCCGGCGGGGTACCAAGCCGGCGGCATCGTGGGAGGGCGGGAGGGGGGGGGAGGGGTTCCCGGATACCAAGCCGGCGGGCTACCAAGCCGGCGCTGGCATGGTAGGTGGGAACCCCTGGGGGGGTACCAAGCCGGCGGGGTACCAAGCCGGCGGCCGCTGGCTTGGTAGGGAGAGCACCTGGGGGAATACCAAGCCGGCGGCCGCTGGCTTGGTAGGGAGGAGCCCCTTGGGGGGTACCAAGCCGGCGGGGCACCAAGTCGGCGGCCGCTGGCTTGGTAGGGGAGAGCCCCCGGGAAGAGGTACCAAGCCGGCGGGGTACCAAGCCGGCGGCCGCTGGCTTGGTAGGGGGGAGCGCTTTTTTCCCAGAGGTTCCACGGTTCCAACAGATAGAACCTTATGTCGTGGTTCTATCACGATAGACCCCTTTCGCACGGTTCTAACCACCACTGTCATGGTTCTATCCATGTTATGTAAATACACTATTTTTCAACATCATATCATCATACATAGCAATCAAGGCTGGACATGTGGATCGTATGTGTTCGTTGAGTTGCTGATGGCGTGCGCTGCTTGCTAGCGAACCATCCTGTACATAGATTGCACTTTTCGTGTTATGTTCCCGTCCTGGGCGCCAGAGTCTGGCATCGTGAGGAGTACATCGTGAACGCGTTTGCGATCGCCGCACACAAGAGTTGCACTGACCCCCTGGTCTTGAAAGCACCTCTCTTTCGTCACCCTGTGCCCCTTATATCCTCACCAACAGCATCATCACCACCATCACCACCACCACCATCACCACCATCATCACCGCCACCATCACCACCAGGATGGAGGCAGGGAGTGCGAAGGTGAAGAGGGTTGAGATGCCAAGGAGTGGGCGGGAACGGACAAGGACGAGGACGAGAAGGAGGGGGAGGAGCAGAAGCACGAAGAGGAGGAGGAGGAGGAGGAGGAGGAGGAGGAGGAGGAGAGGGAGGAGGAGAGGGAGAAGGAGGAGGAGGAGAACGATGCGACGATGAGGAGGACGAGGATAAGGAGGAGGAGAAGGAGGAGGCAGGAGGATCGGTCGCAATGGCGACGACGGTGGCAATGACAGGAAGGGGGTGGGACACGGCGGTGGCGGGGGCGACATCGATCGCATTCGGCCCGAGCATATTTTCCCCAAGATGGGGAAGAAAGGGCGGCAGCCCGCGTGCGACGGGGAGGGAATGGAGAAGGACTTCAAGAAGATCTTCAAGAGGTGGATCACGGCGGCGGACGCCGTGGACTACTCCACCGACCTCGAGGACCCGCTGGATGCCGACAAGATCGGCAAGAACGCGGGCCTCGTCGCAGCGCTCCGCGAGGCGACTGGGTGAACCGCAATGGAGGAGCGATGATAGGAATGAAAAGGAGGGTGGGAGCTAGCCTGGAAAGTTAGACGGGCCCCACTCGGGGCCCAAAACTTCTGACGATGCCCAACATTTCGTAGGCCCCACGTGGGCCCTGTCCCATCCATCATATGCAGTTCCGATGGCCACCACCCTCACCCCGTTCACATTCCATTGCAGCCCCACGGTGGATGGAACGATTCTGGGGGGAGGGCAGGAGGATGAGGATGAAGATGATGCGGAGTGCGAGCGGGGATGAGGATGAGGATGAGGACGAGGATGAGGATGAGGCTGGCGAGGAGGAGGAGGAGGAGGAGGAGGAGGATGAGGAGGCACATGCGAAGAGTGGAAGTGCCGATGAGCAGGATGGGGAGGAGAAAGATGGCGAGGACGATGCGAAGGAGGATGGAGAGGATGTAGTCCACCTTAGCAGGTGATCGCGCCAGCGGAGCAGCTCACCGTCGCGGCGCTCCAGGTGCCGCTTAAGGCGTTCGCCAACAAGCGGGACTGGGCCCTCGGAGACGAAGTTGCTGGCTGGGCTCGTGAGCACGCTTACAAAACACAATAGGCTTTGCCATGCCACCGCCAGAGGATGACGATGAGGATGGGTGACGATGACGACGAGGGAGGGTGCGACCACGCTAGACGACGGCGCGGCGAGACGCGAAGAGCAAGACGAAGACGGACGTCGGACGGGAAAGAGGTAGAGAGGACGGAAAGGAGGTATGCAGGGGGAGGAGGGGAAGATAGGGACATGATACGAAGGGAGGATGACAGAGCGGAGGGGAAGCTGGAAGATGGCGGAATGGAAGGGATTGGTAGGAGGGACGGAGAGGAAGGGAGAGGAGGGGAATGAGATGAAATGAATTAGGTGGCATAGGGGGAAGGGAAGAAAGCACGGGAGGAGATGGCGAACGATATGGACGATAGAGAGTGGGAGGGCAATAGTGCAGCCATTATGCTACAACTTCTCCCATTGTTGGGGAACGTCGGATTCGAGCGATGCTACGACACGTAGCACAGGGTGTATCTAAGTGCAGGACCCCACGATAGCAAATGCAGATGACGATGGCCCACTTGCAACCCAATGGTGGTATGATGAGCTCTGAGGTTAAGAGCAGGAGGAGGAAAGATGAGGAGTGCGAATGATGATGAGGAATGCGAATGATGGATGGCATGGCCGATGAGCAGGGTATGGAGGGTATGCGAATGAGGAGGAGGAGGCGCAGGAGGAGGATGAGGAGGAGGAGGATGTGGTGGATGGGGAAGGGGGAGGCGAAGCATGGGCAAAAACATATGCTCCCAGGACTGACGGGCGACCAGCGCCAGAGTGGCTGAAGCCATTCTACGACGAGCCCGAGGACAGCTGGGGAGTCGTAGATATCACCCTCATTCTGTGTGTCTTGGATCCGTCTCCCCGCCATCCTCCCCCCATCACCCGCCAGTCTGACGGCATCAGGTTTCCGCACCATTCAGCCCAAGGAGGAGGAGGAGGAGGAGGAAGAGGAAAGGCTGAGGCAGTTGATTTTGAGGCCGTGGGGCCAGGAACGGCGTGATAGGATAAAAGCTGGTGGGTGATGTTGGTGGCTGGATGGCATCGGACGACGGACGATCACGAGCTGAGCTTTGAATGTTCCAGCTCAGGACAAGGGCGGCCGCGTGCAGTGCAACGAGTGGGTGTACGAGTTCGACCGCCTGGAGATGGCTGCGGGAGAATCGAAGTAGTGGGTTCGTCGGGACTTGGGCCAGACCGAGAGGATGATGAGGAGGATGAGGAGGGGGAAAGGATGGAACGGATGAAAGGATGAGGAGGGCGAGGATGAGGATGACGAGGGCGAAGATGAGGGGCGGAGGAGTGATACCTGAGAAGTAATGCGATGAGGCCACTGATTATCGTAGGGTATCAGGTTTGACGTCTGAATTCAGTCTGAATTCAGTCTGAATTCCGTCTGAATTCAGTCTGAATTCCGTCTGAATTCCGTCTGAATTCAGTCTGAATTCAGTCTGAATTCAGTCTGAATTCAGTCTGAATTCAGTCTGAATTCAGTCTGAATTCAAGTTGGGTGTCTGGGTCAGTTTGGCGTGGGCCAGTCTGGTGCCGGTTGAAATCATCGTGCGCGCGGCACCTGCCACATATATCGAGTGCCGAGTTGTCTCGAGAGAGGGTGAGGCAGATCCGGATACTTGGGGGTAGGAGGAGGATGGGCATGATTACAGGCGGGAGCAGAGACGTACTAACGACCCGCCCCACCCCTCCAGCGAGGCTGTGTGCCGCAAGAAGCTGAAGAGCAAGAGCACGAAGCCCACGATCGAGTGGGCGAATCCGATCGACACCACGGGCTGCGATGACGACGACCCTGTGAAGGCGGTGTTCGAGGACGGCACGACCCACACGGTGGCTGGATTGACTGTGAAAGAGTACGCTGAGATGAAGCACAAGGAGATCAAGAACCACATTTTCTACGAGGGTAAGAAAGATAAGACTACCAGAATATGGGCATCACCATACAATCGGAAAGGACAACAATTTCTGGCGTTGTGGCAGAGATTAGACGGGAAACGGTTGCAGATGGTGATCCAGATGATGATGAAGCCCCATTACAAGTACGAGGATGGTGTCAAATTGTTCCAGTCAATGGGTATGGCATATGCTTCGAACGAGAAAGACAAGCAGGCGCTGGACGACCAGAAGGCGCAGTGGATGCAGGAGCGTGACAAGGCTGAGAAAGTCAATGAGAAGAGCACGAAAATGACTGTAAAGAAGAGGCCGTCCGCGTCATGTGAAGCAGCTGTTATTAAGAAGACTGCATCGCATGATGATGATCATGATGATGATGATGCTGGTGGTTCAGATCATGACGGATCGGAAGATGACAGCGAAATGAGGCCCCAATCCCCAGCAGAAGATGACGAGGACAGTCAATGTGAACATGACGCCGAGGAAGATGATGAGGCGCCGCTGGTAGCAAAGAAGAGGCCGTCGGCAAAGGACGATGACAGCTCCCCGCCAGTGATGAAGAGGCCGTCTACAATGAAGCCACCGAGCTCACCGACGGCATCAGGGATGGCATCAGGTTCGGGGGCGCTGCCAGCAGCTTCGCCGCCACCACCTTCGCCGACGGCAACAGCTTCCCCGACCCCGATGTCAACGGCTACGCCAGCACCATCGCCTCCAGCACCACCGCCGCAGCCAGCGCCCGACACGATCATCGGCATTGGTTTCTTCTAGCTGCGGCAGACCGTTGACGAGGAGCGGGGGTTGGGCATAACAATGGCGCGATGGTTAAGGCTGAGGAGGGATTTGAGGAGGAGGAGGTCCAGGTAGGTACTGACCTTCAGATATAAAGATAGGGACGATGCCCATAAGGCAGATGAGACCCATAGGGGTAATATACAGGCTGGGGGAGACTACTGAGAGGGGAGTGGAGGTGGGATTAGGATCAGGATGTCGAGTACATGGGTAGTCGTCGCTCCACCCCCGCATCCCCCATCTCCTCTCGCTCCCCGTCGTCTTCATCTTCCTCGATGGTCGTACTCATCCTCTGTAGTGCTCCTTGTCCTCCTCATCAACTTAAGCCTCGTCTGTTTCGTCCTACTCCTCGACCCTCAGTCCGCACCTTCAGCACGCGCCCTCCATGTGTTTGGATTCCCAGGACCCGCTCGGGCACAACGTGGCCGTCGTCTTGGACGGGACCATGGACGTGCATCTCGTCATGAGGTCTCCAGGGCGTGGACTGCCCCCGACGATCGACCGAGGCAAAACAACGAAAAAGTTCGACCTGCGTCAGAGAGCATTGCACACATACTTGTGGCAACGAATCGGCCCCTGAAATGCAATCGGGTTTAAGTTGTGGTTCCCTCAATACGAGCCGAGAACTGGTTGTGGTTTTGCATATGGGTACGTCCAGCTCGGCTGACCCCCTAACCCTCTCAACCACGTCCTCATCATATTTCCCACCTCGCTTAACCTCGCCACGAGCATCGTCATCGTCCTCGTTCTTTCGCGGGTCTCACGCGTCTGGTCTGGCCGATTAGGACTCGATCCCCAAATCGCACCGAAATTCCACCCTCGCATACCCTAAGTGGAGTGGTGGGGCAAAACGGTTCAGAACAGGAGGCCGGTGAGTGGGAATGGAGGCGGAGGAGGATCAGGGGGGATCTGATCAGGAGGAGGATGAGGATGAGTGGAGGTAGTGCGATGATAGGGCATGTGTGGCGGAGGGGGTCCGATCACGTTCACGATGCGATAGCCGCTTCTGGTCAAGTATATGAAGCAGCAGCACCGATACCACGATATCAGATTGTGGATCCACCGCGTACCAGTCACAACCATGAACGATGCCGTCGTGGACGTGTCATCCAGCGAGGGCGCCCCAGCGGGGCAGACCCTGCATGAGGACCCCCATAGGGAGCGTACCCTCTACATCAGGAGGAGGATGAGCAGAGAGGAGGAGGGTGTGGAGGTAATGGAGAATAGGAGGAGCAGGAGGATCAGGAAGAGGATGCGGCAGCATGATGAAGAGGAGTATGGACCGAAACCGTGAGGAGTGGCGAAGAACGCCCATACAAGGCCCTCGATAATTCGGGTACCCCCCCATATTGATTGCGCATTGCTTGGACATTCCCGAGGATGCATCGGATAACGAGCCGCTGCAGCGCACCTTCACGGCGAACACGGCGAAGGGAGTTGACTCTGACGAGGATGCGCTGTGCCAGGTGCGCCAGTTTATCGATTCGGAGAAGCTGGCGCAGGAGCTCTGCGAGGAGGAGGGGCAGGATCGGAAGGAAAAGGACGCCTCGGGGGCCTCGGGCAGCACGGACGGCGGTCTGCCTGCGACTGCTCCCGCGGCAGACGCGGTGAGTCGTGCAGCGGGCCTTGGTGAGTCCTGGCAGGCTGGTGGTTCGCCGCTTCCAGATCGCGATCCTCGCGGTGCCGAGCTCCCTGGCGTGGCAGAGCTCGCGGAGCTGGCGCCGAAGGACGGCGCGCCGACGGACAGTGCGCCGAAGGACAGCGACAGCGACAGCGAGGACCTAAAGGCAGAGGAGGAACGTGTTCTGCGAGAGGCTGAGGAAGCGAGGAGAGCAGTCATCGCGCAGGAGGCGGCTGCGCGTGAGGCAGAGGAGAACGCTGAGCGCCAGGAGGCTGAGCGCAAGGCGAAGGAGGACGAGGCAGCCAGGAAGGAACAGGAGGGGGCCGAGTGGCTGAGGCGCGAGCAGAAGCGCTGGATGGAAGATCGCGAGGCGCGCAATGAGGCTGCAAAGAAAGCGAGGGCTGCTGCGCAGGAGGCAGAGGAAGAAGAGGCCAAGAGGCAGGAGGCAGCTGAGGAAGAGGCGAAGAGAAGGCAGGAGAAGAAAGAGAAGAGGATCGCACAGAGGCAGCGCATCGAAGAGCTCAAGAAGGCGACCGCTGAGGCGCGCAGGCAAGACGAGCTGCTGAGTGAGAAGATGAAGCAGGCAGAGGAGAGAGAGAAGCTCGCGAAGGCTCGCATGGATGAGGTACAGCGTTCGATCGAGACGAGCCAGAAGCTGCTTCGGTCGGCAGAACCTGCGCTCGGTGACTATCCTGGTGGGAAGGACCTCTCGGGATGCACTTAACATCCCCCCACCAGCAGTTCCTCACATCGTGCTTCTCTCGTCCTCATGCTGCTGCTCTAATCAATTGTGTCCGACCCGCGCCCGCCACATCGAACGCATCCGCATTGAGAGGGGCTACCATCTCAAATGACGGATATGATCGTGACATGCGACCCCACGTCGCGATATCATCCGTGACAATGGTGGCAAACGGTGTGTTGTTGTTGGGGGTGGAGATGGTGTTTGTGTTGCTGCTGTGCTGCCCCCATCGCGATGATGCGCCACTGCCGTCGCCGTCCACCCCCTCTCCTTCTCATGCTCTCCCTCCTTCTCCGTCTCCTCCTCCTCCTCCTCATCGTCCTTCTCCCCCCCCTCCTCCTCCACATCCTCCCCCCCCCCGCATCCTCTGTTTCTTTTTGGAACCTATGCCAGGACAGCCAAGCTTCCGCATCAGCTGATGCCTCAGTCGAGCCTGCTGCGCCAGCTGTGGGTGTGGGGTCGCCAGATGCGAGCGCGGGGTGCAAGCCAATCGTCGGGCAGCTCATTCGCAATCGCAGCTCCGAGAGGGAGCCACCGTCATCTGCTGCGACTGCGTCCTCTGATTCGAGTGGGTCAAGCGCAGATCCGACGCTCATGGGCAACAAGTCGAAGAAGGAGCTCCTGCTGGACATCGACAAGGAAGTGAAGCTCATCACGAACGACATATGCGCTGGCAGCAACATCGACGACGCGTCGGCCGAGTTCGCGAGCAACCGCCTTGCTAAGATCTACCATTCCGAATCTTTGGGGCGGATCCAAACCCTTCGGAAGTTGGACCCGTTCTGGGCCGACGAGCAGCGCAAGGCCACAGGGCAGACCGACGAGGAGATGGACGACGAGTTCAGGGAGTTCTGGCTGGCCATGGAGAAGAAGAACTTCTACTTCGACCTGGACGAGACCGCGCCAAATCCAGCGGCTGCGAAGTGGAGGAGGGCGAAGGCCGCCAACCACGGACTTGCAGATGAATACAAGAAGAAGAAAGGGTTCAGCGACAAGGCCGCGTACCGCCAGGACTGGTTGAAAAGGGAGTTCGATAAGTGGGCGCAGCGGGCGCAGTACAAGGCTGGCGAGATCAACGAGAAGGCTGAGTCAAAGGATGGCCAGTACATCTCGCTGGCCAAGATCGCAGTCGAGGAAGGTGGAGGTAGGGCGGGCCTTCGAGCGGCCATCAACTGGGCTCACTACTGCATCCTCTTGGGCGGCGAGATGCTCGAGTATTGCGAAGGCACCAAGCAGATGAAATATTTGCACATCGTCCACAGGCTCACGGACACCTACAAGAAGGTCAATGCGAAGTGGACTACATGGACGCATATGGATGACCCAGCCCTGCCAGCGCCGACGGCGCCAGCTGGGGGGGCGCCTGCCGCGCTGCCTGCGTCCGAGGCCGCCAGCGGAGAGCCCGCCCAGGAGCCCGCGCCGTCAGCGGCCCAGCCCAAGTCCAGGGCGAGCAAGAAGAAGACTGGAGCTGCTGCTGGTGAGGAGGCGGCGCCAGCAGGCAAGAAGCGGAAGTGCAACCAGGGCGATGACACGGGCGACGCTGGCAAGTCCACTGGTGACGGCAACGACGGCGAGCCCACTGGTGGCCACGGCAAGAAGGTGCCCACCAAATCGCCTGCTTGGCTCGTGGAGTTCCGAAAGGTCAGACATGTGGAATTTGCCACCTCATTCCGTCATGGCACTAACCAGCATACTATCATACGTAGCCTCTCATGCTACCTAACAGCGCACCATCTCCCCTCCTAGTCTACCATCACGCTTACACACCCTTACCCTCATCTTAACAGACATTGCTATTGACGATCTTCATCCCACCACCCCCACCCCCTCTCCGTGATGAGAGGGGGATGAGGAGGACGCAGCTGCATTCGTTGGATCCCGCTTTCTTTCCAAGGTGAAGAACGTTTACAACATAGTCACCTCGCAGGCGCGCACGGTCTCGGAGAGCATCAAGAACGACAAGAAGTGGGCGTGGGCCATGGCCAAGGTTTCCGACCCCAATGACCCCGATGGCGAGCCCATGTCGCTTAACAAGCACATGAATGACGCTCTGACCGAGGTCATTTGGAATCATAAAATGTATGGATGAGGATGATTCGGAAGCTG